GATGCCTGTACCCGGTCTGCGCCGGGCTACTGTAGAGGGGCACCTCGTAATGTGAGGGAATCGCAAACCTGTACCAATCCTTCTGCGTTTGCACCAGGCCCCTCCATACTTGTCGAACCTACGTATAGCTCTCGGATAGGAGCGTTTGCGAACCTTGAGTGAGCATATCGCGCCTGCTTGCATAGATTCTGTTTCGCAGTGGTGCTTGTGTTGGGTCCAGATGTTCGGGGACCGGCTTCTGCCACGCCCCGGGAGAATGTGACAACCCTCGCCTGTAATGTTCCAGAGATATAACAAAGTTGGAGGAAGATGTGAGCCCGATCCGAAGCAAGATTTGGATGTGACTGGAGAGTCCAATCAGGCCGCCTTTGTTGAAGGGGCCTAGGCGAAAAGTGCGGACTTGCGCAAAGGGTCGCGTGTCTTCGCTATACTCAAGATCCCGAAGTACCGCACGCACGGCGGTCCACCAGGATCCTCTGTCTTCCTGCAGATATTGATAGGCAGTAGCAGTAGCAGTAGCAGCAGTGGCAGTAGTAGTAGTAGTAGTAGTAGTAGCAGCAGAATTCATCCTTCAGTTGCAACCACCCTGAATCAATGTTGCCTTGCGTCGGGGTATGATGAGAAACACTGCAGTCAGCGATCTGAGTCTTTATCGTTGACGACCCTTCGGTGGAAATGTGCGTGTCAGCTGACCCGATGTTTTGGTTGTTTGCGCCTGCGTTGCTGTCAGCGGAGCTTAAAACCCTCGTGCTTGATGATGAGCGACATCTACAAAGAAAGACATAGCCCCTCAAGCACTGATGAGGACAAGTGCGTGTCAGCTGATGCGCTAGGGTGTTCGATGAAGGGCGACGGAAGTCAGCTGAAGTTCGTTTGGTCAACGACTGCAGTCTTTGTAAGCCATGATGAGACACACTGCCAACCGTGGCAAAGCCTTTGTGGCTTTGATGAACCCTCAGTGGAATTGTGCGTGTCAGCTGACTGTTGTCGTATAAACGGCGCGCGTTCCCTGACTTGAAGAGACCTGTGACTTTTGACTTTCTGCGAGGAGGAGTGCAGGAATTTGGCGGCCGAATATCAATCAGCCTTGAGCGGCCCTATCCACCATCCATCGAGCATCGATCATGTGACTGTAGACTTCCGTCATGCCAACCAGACGTGGGAAAATCCAACAATCACTGTGACCCAGTCTGTGGGCTTTTGGTTCCTCCGTCGAATTGCTTCACTTGCCCGAGTGTGATTGCCGAAGCCATGAACTTCGAACCCTTTCAGCCATTGGTTGCGACTGGAGTGCAGTCGATGTCAAGACATTGCTATTATTGAGGATTGTTCTGAAGGCTGAGCTTGCTTATCAGCTCATGGTACAGTGGCTTTGCCCAGCTTCAGGCCCTCCGTAGAGCAGCTGAGACGGTTGCACAGTCACTCCTTGGAGTGAGCCTGTGCCAGCATTTGTTGCTGGAGCCTCGGTGGCCTGCGCAGTGAGGTTAAAATGTGTGTGTGTGTGTAGTGTGTAGTGTGTAGTGTGTAGTGTGTGAGTGCGGGCGGGCGGGCGTGGTGGGCGGGCGGGTGGGTGGGTGGCTGGGTGTGTATGTATATCTTGTACATGTGTCGGTGTGTGTCTGTGGGTGGGTGGGTGGATCTGTGTTTTGCATCCTTTGTCGTGAACGACCGAAAGCTGTCAAAAGGTGCAGCCTGCGAAGCCGCGAAGAGGTGAAACGAGTGGACAGCGGTAATGCAGCTTGAGTTGTGCTCGAGCCGAAACCCCCAGGTCCGAAGTCTGATATTTGTTGGCGGAGAAGGAGAAGCGCATGTGGCAGTAGCCTGGGCACCAAAGCATGAAAATCACGGTATAGCAACGGGTGACTCTCTTCATCATGCTTGTTATGGCTGTTCGTAGTATCGCCGCTACTACCGGACTACCGCTGCCAGCAATGTTGCGTGTCTTCGGGCGACCCACGAGCTCCAACACACAGAAGGCACATCTTCCGAACATCTTCCTGGACGCTCTCCCGAACTGAGATTTAGTGAAAGTACAGTAGTGGTCCAAGATGCCTCACAGGCCTTGGAATTGCGTGATTTGTGACATTGTCCACCGAAGCCATCGCAGCAGGTGCTGTGGACCTTGCATGAGCTGCGCAGCAGGCCAGAGCCCCGAAGAGCCCCGAAGGGGCACGGGGCCGGCATGGGAACTCGGGCCCTTGACGAGACCTCCTTCGAGGCACCAAATCTTTTGGTCTTGAAGAAAACCTGATCGAGGCCTAGTTTCGATCTCGTCCTGGCCAGCGCACGAATGGGTGCTGGGTCAAACTTACTTTGCGAGACTTCTGGCGGCAAGCCGTATGGTGTTGTGGACACGGAGTCTAGGCTGCAGAAGTTTCTTGAAGACTTATCTTGGGCAGTCTTGTTCTAGTTCTGCACCAGTCTTCCTATATGCTCAACCTGAGCATGTCCACACTTGCTGCACGAATGTGCTGCTTGTGTATGTGTGAGTTCTTGAGGATGAATATGCCCGAATGAACCCTATGCGCCACAGCCTCGGCTTTGGGCGCATGCAAAGCAATTCAAGCGGAAATGATGAAAATGGCAATAAGATCTACAGAACGGAGACTTACAGTAACTAGCAGCTACTCGTACTAGCATATCGACCCCTAGAACCGTGGCAATACTGTATTCGCGCTCGTTTTGTTATGTTTTTTGGCACTAGTTAGTGTTACTGCTCATGTTGAGGATTGACGCTGTGTATAGTGCTGTTACCGTTGTTTTCGTGATGATTCGCAGCACAGTATTCGGGGCATGCATGATCAAGCCTCGTTCCTGTCTCAGGTACTGTTCCATGCTTAGTCGATGGGGACCTTGCAGTTTGGGAATCGCATTCGATCGTGCGCTACTTGGCACAGAGTCTCAGCCGAGCCAAGAAAGAGCCTTTCAATGCGTGCTTCTTCTACCACAACCCAACAACAAGGAGTGCTCGCAGAAGCTGTGCCGCCAGAAGGGTTAATGTTGTGCCCGGAAGTTACCTTTGCCTGAGAAATGAGTGTTGCGGCACCCGGCCAACATAGTACAACTTGAAGGAAGAACGTAGCCGCAGCCCATGAACACCAAGTGTGGAAGTGAGGAAATATTCTCCAGATCTGCACCTGAGCTCGGTCGAGGGCCTGGCCAAGTGCTCTCCGTGGATGGACTGGCTTCTCTTCATGAACTTCCACGAGTGCCGTCACCTTAAGCATTCGCCTACGGTCAAGCTGACGCAGTGCTGTTTCAGCGTCAATCTGTTGCCGAAGGTGTGCAGGTTCAGCAGATGTGTCGGTGGACCGGTTTTTTCAGCGTCAGAAGCCGACACAAGGCAACCATCACCTTATTGATCAGACGGCGCGCACGCTGCCCGAACGAAGGGATGTGGCCAAGATGAGAGAAAGCTACAAAGGCGGGTTCGCGATTGTGCTGGTGCCACTATGCTAGTCAAGTGCGGAGCAGCCAGGGATCGGTGACAGTTGCGACATTTGTGGCACGGTGCCTCGCCAGGTTATGTCGAACGTTTCCAAAAGGTGGAAAAGCGGATAGATGAAACCAAAGCGTTTCTTGCCGGGAACGAATTCACCATTGCAGCTCCCTGACTGGTGTTTGCCACACTTGTTGTGATTTAGATTTTTTCGTTTTCTACATGCCTTTTTTTGTCGAAGAAAGCAGGCGCTAGCGACTCTCTAATTACTGATGCAGCGTCGGCACATCACCACAGAATAGGAATCAGCAGCTTCCCTTTGACAGCACAGGACATTGTGGTCGGAGCTGAAGTCTGCCGCTTCAGCTGCGGCGACATGCTTATTTTATGTTATTTTCAGAATTTTTCAGAACACATTCATGTTTCCGGTTGACCGAGTCTTGAACAGACATGTGGTCCGCTTTCAGGCATGCTGCGCTGGGCGCAAGACGGAATCCCACACGGGCTGGAACGCGCCGAATTGCCGTACCTGGAGTCATATTTCAGGACTGGGGAGATTGGAGCGCCAGATAGTGCCAGCATATGCAAGATATGCAAGAGCCGTGTCACTGATGAGAGTGACAGGAAGCTTCAAGAGAGGTCACTCGGCTGTCGGTTTGCGGCCCGACTTGTCGTGCATGACGCGCCCGGGTTTCCTTCCGACTGTTCGGCTGAATGTGTGCTATAAAGGATCTCCATTAGACGCGATTGCGCAAGATGTTTGAGGCCAGCATTCCGTGAGATGTGTCTCCGGCACGAGCGTGAACATCAGCAGATGGAGCTCCTCGCTGCAGATTTCCCACAGCTTTTCGGGTTCACGGTTTCGCGATCTGATCCGGCAGTCCAGGGACGATCAACCCGCTCTTGCTTGCAGCAATTCCAACCAATCTCAACAGAAACCAAGAAAGCGTTTTGCTTGAGGCCTCTCCATCCGGACTGTCATCAACCTTTGCTCCCAGATTTTTGATGCGGTGGTCACAATTCTGATTTGCTCACAAGCCGAGGGTTGCGTAGCCATGAAAGAGCACAAAGCATCTCAGCCGGATTTGCGGCGCGAAGCGCTGCTGGTGCACAGGCCACAAGAGCTTCAGCGGGCAGTCCACCGCATCAGTCTGGCGATCGGCTTGCAGATCAGAATGCCTGGGGAGCATCACATCGTGCTCCCATGCCGGTTCAGTTTCTCCAGCTCTTCAGGGAGGGCATGATGGACATCGTGATTGAAAGAGGCGAAGCAAGCTAATCCAGGTAGGACATGATGCATTCGGCTTTATGCGCAGACAGAGACATAGAAACACGCAGACGCAGAATGACGCAGACACACACACACAGCATGCAGCAAGCAGATCTCCTAGTTACATGGGCGCTGTCCGAAAGCCTGCATGGATCAGCCGGACGAGCCCTTCAGCTTCTGCTGACCTCAGGCTTGTCTAGTTTTACTTCATCCCCAATCCCCATGGTCCAGTACTGTATGTGCAGAGCTTTCTCATCCACCATGCGACGTGAAGGAATCTATCTGCTCTACATGTACTTCAAGAGAATATTTCTCGCCTCCGCGACATGCATTTGGCTTGCAACCGGAGTTGGCCTAGCTACCTGGCCGCACTTGCGCTTGCCAGACCGCAGTGCAAAGTCTGGCCAAGTGTCATCTCTCTCTATCGAACTGCTTGAGGTGTTGTTCACAACGGTCGGAATAGCTCCAACCGTAGCTTGGGCTTATTCGCGGTGAATCTTGCTGCAGTTTTTCTCGGCATCGCTCCTGCTGCGGGTTCTGGAACATGTTCGTTGAACTTGCCGCGCAAGCCAAGGTCTACAATGCCGTGGCTGATGAGAGCCTCAACAGGGCGCCCAGCTGCGAAACGTTTCCGGGAGTTCTCTCCTTGAGCCCACGCCTGGACAGGCCGGCAATGGTGCAGCCGCCCTGACTGCCTTCAGCCTGGCATGTGCCTTCGTGCTAGACTTCTACCTTATGTGGCTTGCCAGCATCCAATGCGCATCAATGCGCCATGACGGGCCGGGACAGGCTTTTCTAGCAGATGCGCAGTGCGTCTTCTGGTCCGGGGGATGCCCCGGTGCCCCATATCGCGAATCAGCGCATACCCTGTCATGGGCGGATTCCTCTGTGAAAAGTGTGGTTTCCCCGAGGCCGCCTGTGGTTCAAGTCTTCTCAGCGGTGGTCTTCGCAGGCCTCGCGGCCTGACCTGAGCACTGAGCAAATAACCACTCCGTGCTCGTGCGTTAACCTTGAATACTTCTGGCTGCCAGTCTTTCCAGCTATGGAGCTAGTTCAGGGGCTCTTTTTTCGGCTCTTGGTCCCCGGCGTTGAGTTGCAGTCCATGAGTATCGTTTTCGATTCTGTGCGACAGCGGTGGAAGTAGAAGAAGTAGAAACAGTAGCTGCAGTCAGTAATAATTTAATATGATTTTGCCTCTCCAGGTTTGGCCTTTGCCACAGCCGTGCTCAAGGCGATTGCCTACCCATACGTGGGCACCTCGAGTATGTGGGGGTTGTGGGGCAGAGGCGGAGGGCTTTGGCCTTGAATTCGGGCTCCCGCTCGAAGCTCCTAGGAAAACCTCCCACATATCTAGACGGAGAGCCAACAAATCAAGAGATGTACCAGGAATTACGTCAGACCTATCACTGCAATACTGAGCACTTCGGTGACACAAACAGGCTCTTCAAAGGTTAGATCCACTTTACTTCCGGATGACAGCACATAAAGGATCACAAAGGCTTTCAGCCTCTCCAGGAAACACGTGAGGTGATCTCATCAAAGTTGACGTGGTGCTTTTGTTTGAGCCGCATCTTTGTGCATGCCATGTGGCTATTGGCGAGCAACCTACCTGCCCGGTTCTGTTGGGAGCTCACTGCGCTCGCGAAAAATCGAAGCTTGATATGGCTCTTGGATTCCCAAGGTGCCTGAGCAAGCAGACTCGAGTGAAAGTGATAGCCATGCGACTCAAACATCCTACCTCTCCCGTTTACATGTCTCATCTCGCTCTGGTGCAGCCAATCTGAGATTATTGGCCTGGCCACTGACAAAAGCACTCGGTGCGCCTGAATCCTCGTTAATTGGAACGATACAGAGAGGGTTAACGTGGCCCCTGCGCAAGGATGAAACGGACAAATCGAGAAGCGCACAAGCCTTTAGAAGGGTTCATGGTACGCCATGGTGAGCGCTTATTCTTTGGTTGCATTAGTGCTCATGGCTGATGTGGTGGCAAAGATAATGTCTTCAGCGTGCCAGACTATGGACACATCATGGAGAAAATCAATAGTGGGTTCAGGACACTTGGTGTTGCGAGGGCACGTCGGCTTCACAGCGACCCAAAAGCTTGAGGACAAGGTCCAACCTTTGGAAGGACTGGAACAAGAAGTCTTCGTCCCCAACCTTGTGCGAGCACTGCGTCATGCGGCGAGTCGCCCATTCGACGTGAAGCCCAAGCAGTGGCAGCTGCAACTGCGGTGGGGCAGCTGCACCATGGAGTGAACAGTGCCATCGATGTTTGCACTTTCAGTTCGCCCCAGGACCCCGATTTGCATGAACGATTGGAAGTTCACGAGGGATTGCGGTGTTTCGTCTTGCACTGGCTGCGAGACAGCTTGGATCGGCAGCAGCCCACAGGATGCAGTTTGCCGCCTCCGCCATTTCACTTTGTGTCCTTCTCGTTGACATACATCACAGACTTGCTGTGGCTGCAGGAAGCTGGAACAGCAACACTATGTTGCAAAGAGTGGGCAGGAATGTATGCACAGATCTGGGAAGTTCGTACTCTGTGGTTGTAACTGAGACGCTGAATGTGCTTCGCAGGTAGATGAAAGACTTGGTTGTCTTGCTTCACGATGAAAGCAGCACAGCGAGGTTGCAAGGGTCCTGGAAGCCTTCTGCAGAGCAGCAAACCAATCAGTCACCACGCCACTAAAAGCTTTGCCAACATGTTCTTGGATCCAGTCTGCAAGCAGTCTCACACGAGAGTTTGGATCAGGGTCCTCAGGTATCACCTGTCCAACCTGCAGGACCGTCCGAATTCGACAAGTCAAGGCTCTGCAGGCACGACCTCAACGTCATCTGTCATCTGGCGGGAGCTGATCCGCAAGGACGGGCAGCTCACAGCCAAACCGAGGCCCAAGGAGGAGTTTGAGCCGATGGGCAATGCGTTCCAAGTGAGATGAGCCTTGGCTAATGTGGATGACCTCAAGAAAGCAATCGACCCGTCCTTGTCTCCATTCCAACGTCCAAGATCCGCAATTACTGGGCGAAGGAAGCAAAGATGCCAGTCAGCAAGTCTGCGCTACACAGGTGAGGCAATGTGAGGCAGATTGCTTCCGAATTTCGTGCTGCCATCAGCGGACGATGCATACGCTGCGTGCAACGACAGCATACACGCCGTTGCAATAAGCAGCGACGTTTTGTTGCCCTTCAGCTTTGCTCGACTTCCAGGATAGTAGTCAGCAGTTCAACGCTCACATTCCTCGAGCAAGCTACGGCGTTCAAGCCTTCAAGTCCAGCGGGGCATGCAGAGGCTACGGTCAAAAGCCGTTTGTGTTCTTAGTTGTGCTTAAGTGCACTGACGCAACCAATCCATTTGAAGAAGTCTGGGGGAAAACTTAACAGCTACGCCTGTGATAGTGTTATGTTTTCGGACTGATGGTTCACTTTTTAGCGGTTTCTCGGAGTTGCAGTACACTTGTAGGGCCCGGCGAGCATCCTGGGACGCCAAAGTCGCCCTGGAACTGCTCGCCAGAGTCTATGAGAGTCTGTGAATCTCGGTACTCAAGTGCATCTTAAAGCTTGCAGTCGATTCAGCTTGTTCGAGAGGCTGCTTGTTTGCGTCACGTCACTGTCACGTCGTATTGAGACCTCGTCTGGATGGAGCGTAAATCGCTTGGAGCGGTCTGCGAGTGAGAGTCGAATCGACCACCCTAGAGTGAAGTATAAGTCTTCACAGACTTGCTGATGGCCACCCCCCCCTGCTTTCATGCAGTTCGGAGCCTGCTCCTGCAAAACGTCCAGCGGCTGTGGCGGAATCCTGTAGTGCTGAGGCGCCTGGTCTTCTCGGCATAGGGCTGCCACTAGCCTACCTGGGTTGGCTGCGGGTCGAGTGCTGAGCGCATCCTAGTTCAGCCTGGCCTCTTGGAGCGGCCGACCTCTCAGGTGCACATCTTTCCGCCATCGACTGTTTCCGGCAAAGAGCTGCGGGGTTGCAAGCGGCCAACAGCCTTGTCTGATCTTGTCTCATAGGCCATATAGGCTTCGGCTGTGACATTGCGGCTTGACAAACGGAAGTTTGAGTGCTGTGGCTCACTGAGGTTTCTTCGGCCACTGTCAGCAACGTTTGGTTGCACTTGCGTGGGAGTTGTCGTAGCCTCTTCCTCAGTGAAGAGATTGGCCTGACAACAAGCGATGATATTTCAGAAATTCTTAACTTGGGATCTGGGCTTCAGTTCATTTCAGCATCGGCACTTGGCAGTCAATGTTAACGCTACCCCGCCCGCCTCGGCTTGCCGGAGAGCAGCACCGTGACAGAACCCGGTAATGCTGACGGCCTTCAAGAGGAGGGGAAGGGGCAGGAGCGGGGGGACGCGAAGGGGAGTTGGAGGGGAAGGGGGGAGGGATTCGGCACAGTAGAGGGTACTGAGTTTACCGTTAACCCCCAAGACGCCTGAGGCCGGTGACCTCGGCGGATATGTGAGAGTGCTTATTCATTATTGAAAGTCGAGTGTTTCTCGTCATGCGACTGCATTGCTCAAGAACTGCCGGGCCAAGGTCTGGTGCGCTTGGATCTTCTTGACGGACCGTGGCTGGTCGACGGAGACAAAGACCGCTGTTCTTCTCTTATAAGTTATGGGTGTGGGATTTGGGGCCTTTAAGGTTTCAATATTGCAGCGAGCGAATACTCTACCTGAATCGCTCTTCCACTTTGTGTATATGCAAGACATGTCACACAGTATAGGTCTACCTGGACCAGCGAAGGGGAGCCTGAGATGTCAAATGCAAACGATGCAAAACAGAGCATGATTGCAGGATATGGCTTACCGAGCAGAACAGCGAGGTTTTCAGCTACCTTTGGCACAATGGTACTACGCCGCTGGTCTACACTACCCACTGTGGTAGTGGAAGCGATACATCATGGTTTAGCCACTTGGAGGTGAAGAAAGCTTTTGGCTTCATTTATGTTCGCCTAGTCATGGCCATGGCGAGCTGCATAGCAGGAGGTGGTCAGGCAAGGTGCTTAGCTTCGGCAGCTGCCGAATTGCCTGCCTGAGGCTTATCAGAGCAGACCGCTATTCAGGCAGCCTGCACGAAAGCCGCCAATGACGCTTCGTCTTCGGTTGAGCCGCACATACAATTGCCGAAAGTAATGGGGGTCGGTGGCAATTCATTCAACCCGGCTAGCAAAGCAACTGAGGTATGGTTCCTGCAGTGGGCCGGACCAGTCGCGATTATTTTGTGCTCCTTGCCTACACGCAAAGACTTCGCGCGTCAGGGTTAAATGGTTAAACCTGCTTCTGTGATCTTTGTCTCACAGGTGACCCAGACCCAAGACAGAAAGCAATGCTCACTTTGTGCAATGCCAATCACCTCTTTGTCTCTCTCTCTCTCTCTCTCTCTCTCTCTCTCTCTGACAGACGCATGCAAGTTTCGCCAAGGCAGCGGAGTCGAAGCGGCCTTTGCCTTCATCTTCTCGCAGGTGTCACAGAAGCTGGTCCGCGGCAATCCCGAGCCTTGCCGAGCCTTAAGGAAAGTCTAAGGAGAGGCGAGCGAAGGGCCCATGGGGCCCCTAGGCCTCTCCTTTGAGACGTAAGGGTCTCGTGAGCGTCAGAGAGCCAGCCAGAGCTCCTAGGCCGATGCAGACGAGGATAGTGTGGCCGTGGCCTATCTGAAGCAGGTCCTAAAAGGATGTCTGCTGCTGATCGTGTTCCTTGGCAGAGAGAGAGAGAGAGAAACTCCCGAGGAAGTACCTTTTGTTTCGTATGCAGTTTGGTACGTATGGGGGTTCCTATCCGGTACTGCTGCGACTTCCTGGGGGGACTCCAAAACCTCAAGAATTCGGTTGGACATTCGCACGGGGAACATGGAAACATGTTACATTAGTGTCTTCTGTGAGAAAACCCCGTGATAATGTCGTGGTGTCCCAATATGCAGTGCAAGGGGGACAATGTTCAACTCACTTATTCTATTGTGTTTGCTTGTCTGTTCGGTCCCAAAAGCACTGCAGTACTGCAAAACAGACGTTTTCCTCCCTCCAAAAGCCCCAATAACATATTGGGGGGCCAACTGGCCGGGGGGTTTGACA